AGGAGGAAAACAACAACAAAAATATTGCTATAATAATTCAAAGAAAAAATATTTAAATAAACATTCAGCTATTTAAGAAGGAATAAAGTTAAATTCTTACCCAGAGCCCCTTCTGAATACTCCATCATGGACAACAGAAGTTCGTTATTAACAGAATCCAGCACAGAACAGATGCTCCTTTGGCAAGAAGAAAGCTATTTTTCACTTCCCCTGGTAACTATCTTTAGCAGTTTACACTCTTAGAAACGAGGAATGTGCATATGCATTTATTATGAGGCAACACGCAATTATCTAATGTCAGCCACGGGGGCAGGGGAGCCTATGAAATCAGCACAAATGACATCCTAAGACATGCCAGGCATCAATATAGGCATTGAGCTCTGCTGACAAAGGCCTTATGATCCCTGAGACGCTCAAGGTCTGGGCATTCCCAGCTATGACCAGTGAGCTATTTACATCTCTAGATAAAAAGGAATCAATAGAGGCCTGAAAACTGCCTAACTTGGGATGGTGGGAGAATCACCACGGTGGAAATTATCTAGACGGAGGCTCTTTCAGAAGAGTGATGGAATATTCTGGGGTTGAGGGAATGTTGAACTTGCACGGGAAAGGCCTAAGTCAGGACAAGAAGGGCAAGAACCACACAGGTCACGACCTCGACCAAGTTCAAGCAAACTCCAGGAACAGCGCTTTGTTGGTTGCAGTCCTGCACACGCAGCATGACCAAGTGGGTGTGGGGTCTGCACAAAGCCACGTGGGAAAATCACAGTAGCCGACCACATTAGTAAACATACTTCACTAATCCCCTCATTGCCATCTATACCTGTCCCACAGACACAAGTCACTCTCAGGGCTTCTGGAAGATGGTGCCGTGTGTGGAGGGAAGGTACGGAATTCCTGGCCCCTCAGTGCACTGACAGACTGGGGCCCTCGTTGAAAGAGACAGTTTGTTGAGAAGTTACTGATGGAATCGTGTGTCTGGCACTCTGAATCTGTGTGTGCAAATGAGTGTGATTTTAACATCTGCACTAAAGTGTAAGCTCTGTCTAGCAGGGCCCCTTTCTCGTTCACCTTCGCTGGCACCACGCCTGCTCAAAGCAAGCCTCCATACAGAGTTCCCAGATGAAACATCGGTGGATAAAATGCCCAGGCCTTGCATGCATTTCATTTTGACTGCTCACCGCAAGGTAATGGTTCTGGTGGACCCTCTAAAAGGAATCCAGCAAGCCAACGTAAATGAAGTATGCTTTCTTGGCAGCTTGTACAAAATGCCGAAGTTCTATAACTTCAGTCCTAGGTGACAGACGACTAGCTGCTTGTGGTCTAAGTGTGTGAGGTTTTACAATGACCTTGATTCTCTATGGACAAAGTCAACCTTGCCCTTGATTCAGACACTATTGACCAGGACGGTACACAGTAGGCTTGATACTAAAGGACCCACTATGGACAACTCAGTTTTTGTCCTCTCTCATAGTCTGAGTTTGAATCAAGTCCATTTTGAGTTACTGTATTTATTCTTCATGATTCACTGGGTTTATTATATATACTTAATAGTATTTTGGATTTGGGGTGAGAGACCCAGAGTCACGTTCAAAACCATAGATGTGGTCCTTTGATGACCTCACACCCAAGACTCAGGACCCAAGGCTAGCTAGCCTGTTTCCATTCTGTTCTGTCAGTAAGCCTGGCAGGGCTTTCAAATTCACAGTCCTTCAGCTGTAATTTAAATCTAGCATTTGTTTGGGGAACTGGCAACAAGAAGGTAGAGAGAAAGGGTTATTTACTTCTGATAAGCCACCATTTGTTGCTTAGACACAAAGCAAAGTCAAGACTCAATCTGTTTAAGACCTCCCAAGCATGCTCCTAGAGGAACTGGATGAATGCTAGGAAAAGGTTTGCTGAGGTGAGCTGGACAGTGGGCCAGGCACTCCATGCAGAGGCAAAGAACACAGCACGTCTGCCTTGCTCAAGGAGCGTGCTGCTCCCAGAGAGGCTAAGAGAAGTGCAATTATTTTTCATATCCAGGATAACTGCTTAGGGTTGATATATTAAATTTGGCTCAACAAAAGCATGAAATAGGAAGCAATAAATGTACTGTGGGAGGCTAAGGAAAGTTTTATAGAGGAAGTTAAGATTTGGGCTTCACCATGAAGAATGCATGCATTTTCAGCAGGAGGGGAAAAAATGGAAGACGTATTTTAGGTAGAAAAAATTGTGTGGGTTAAAACTCAGAAATATGAAGAACCCAAGGTTTTTTTCAGTAATGAGTACGGGGACTAGTGTAGCTGGAATGAAGGGTATTGGGTGTGGGTGTGAAAGATGATATCAGAGTAAATGATCAAGGCCAGATCACAGGGTTTTGGGTGTGCCAAAAAGTATGGGATTTATCTTATACAAAACAAGAATGGCTGGGATACAAAGTGAATAAATTGTAATAAATAAAAACTTATATTTAAAAAAAAGAGCATGTATGATTGAAAAGAAATTTTTTAAAGAAAAAGTTTGTTTCAGAAAGACTGGCTATGTAGCGCATAGACAGGAACTGAAGGTCCTGAGTGGAGGAGGGCTTCCAAGATTAGGAAAAGATGATGTAGCAACCAAAAGTCTGTAAAATGAGACAAGGGAACTCCAGTCTTGCTCCATACTGTTTGAAGATGTCCTGTTCAATAAAAGTCTAGATAACAATTCCTGCAGCCATCACGAAACTCCTAGCTTAAAAAGTGCCATTTTGGTCATATTAAAACAGCCTCAGTAACATAAAGGCATTCCAATGGGAAAGGGAAAAGTCAAATTGTTTCTTTCTATGGATAATAACAATCTTATGCAGGGAAAAACCTTTAAATCACACAGAAGTATGAATATGTACACACCTTCAGAGGAAACAAACAAAACCAGCAAAGTTGTAGACGACAGGACCAGCACCAGGAAATAAAGCTGCATTTGTATAGAATGTAATGAACAGTCAGCCAAGGAAATTAGAAGAAGGATTCCATTCACAAGAGCATTAAAAACAGGAAAACTCGGGAAGAGACATAATGAAAAGGCAAACCTTACACACTGAAAATGCAAAATATTCCTGAAAGAAACTAAAAGACATAAATTAATGGGAAGATGCTCCATGTTCATGCGTTAGGAAACTCTGTATTCTACTACACAAGTGGACCCACAAATTGGGTGTCATTTCCATGGGACTCTCAATGGTAACTTTTGCAGAACTAGAAAAAAAAATCCTAAAATTCATATAAAACCTCAAGGGATCTCAAAGAGTTAAATTAAGTTTTAAAAAGTAAGTATGGGGTCTGGAAAAGTGACTTAAAGCTTAAGGGAGCTTTCAGCTCTTGCAGAGGAACCAAATTCCATTCCCAACACCGGGTCAGGGGGCTCACAACTGTCTGTAACTCCAGTTCCAAGTGATGCAGTGTTCTCATCTGGCCTCTGCAGGCACCATGTGCCCATGTTCACCTGTGACTGTGCGCATGTGAGCGCACACACACAAATTTAAAGGTGTAAATAAATAGTTTTAAAGAGGTAAATAATATTGGAAGAGTCCCATTTTACAAGTTCAAAACTTACTGCAAAGCTCTAGTAATCAAAACAGTAAGATACTAATAAAGGAACAGATTATACATGAGACAGCCCACCCAAAGATAGTCACTTAATTTTCAAAAAGGATGACAACATCACTTAGTGGGAAAATGGCAGCCATTTCAGCAAAAAGTTCCTGGAGAACTAGATGTCCACGAGCAGATGAGTTTTTAACTTAATATGAGTAAAAAACTTAAGTGCTAAAAACTACAAAACCACCAGCAGAAAAAAAGGGGGGGTGATATCATCGTCACTACCTCACATTGTTTTTGCAGTGATTGCATGAATGTGGCACCCAAAGCATGAGCAAAAGGAAAAATGTCGACAACCAAATTTTAAAATTAAGAGCACCAGCTTCAGGAACACCATCAACATAGTGAGAAAGCAGTCCACTGGATGGGAGAAAGTTCTTAAAAACCATATATCTGCTACAGTATTGATATATTTTTATATTGATATAAAAACAGATTTTTTTTAAATGCCCCTGGCCTAATAACAATAACAGAGATTTTGTTGTTGTTGTATTAAAACTAAAAAGGGTCATGAGTGCAAAGAACTTAAATAAACATTTTCCCAAAGACACAAAAATGGCAAGCACACAAAAAGATGTTCAACACTGATAATTATTAGGAAAATGCACACCAGAAACACAGATGAATCACATTTTACAGCTATCATCAAGAAATTAGGAAAAGTAGGAGTAGCGGTGAGAAGGAAAGTCTGGAATCCTTACGTTGCAGGCATCAGTGTGGCATGGTACCGTGACTACAGAAAACAGACAGAAGTTGTCGGAAAGTTAAACACAGAATTATCAGTTATCCAGAACTTTTAAGCATACACTTAACCCCACAGCACTGAAAGCAGACAGTAGAGTCTGATGGCTCTGTTTTGTTTTCAATCAGCAGTGCTGGCAGGTTTAAAGGGTAGAACGGACCATGTGCCCACGGACAGAGGAGTGGGTGAACTAAACACAGCATGACTGAGCAGCAGGTGTGCTGCGATCCGACAGACACAGGACAGACACAGGACAGACAGACACAACCATGGAGCAACTCCATTTGTAAGAGGCCTAAAGTACAGTAGTAGTGGTTGTCCGAGCCTGGGAGTAGGCGCAGTGATTGCTTAAAGGATAAAATTCGGTGTGGGAAGACATGAAGCCTCGGGTGTAGATCATGGTCCAGTGTCAACACACTTACTAAGAGATGGCTAATGTGCCAGTATAGTTTGTCATGCATATTTGGTCATAATTTAGAAACAAAATCCAAGAAAGGAAGCCTGGACAGCAGGTTCTGACTTAGCCGAGACACTACCATGCAGAATGGAAAGTGACCGTAAAACAAACTACAAAGGTTGAACTGGCTCAGGCTGACCCTGACCAACACTGACGATCAAGACGCTCAAGGACGAGGACTCACGTTGCAGGTGGAGGAGCCGTCCAGTGTCGGGTAGGAGCCATCAGGCCAGTCTGCAGGGTCCAAGGCCGCTGACTGCCGGTGCTGGGCCTCGTATTCCTTCAGCTGCAAGAACAAATGAAAGGCTCAAGTGGAAATAGTGGCCGCGTGCTGTCTCTTGCACAGCAGAAAGCACACAGAACTTGTCTGTGTTGGTGATGCTGACTAGGTGACGAGGTGACCCAGGGCCAGCCAAAGCTAAGCCTTGCAGAACCACAAGAAGAGGGTATGACACTCTGCCTTCAGGCTTTAAACCAGACCAATAGATAAAACAGACTCTTTGTATGCTGTTCCAAGCAGAACCTGGATTTTCCTTCTCCGACATCAAAGTAATTTTTTCCGGTGCAATTGTAGGAACTGTCTACAGTGAACGTCCACATGTGTATGGCCAAAACTAGATACAGCCTGCCCTTCCTCTCAGAGGGGCCTGGAGAGGCCGGCCACACCCGAGGAGCAGAGGGAGAATCCCTGAAGCTTCTAGAAAGGCCAGGGCCAGGCTGGGGGACGCCGCCCAAAGAGTAGAGTGCTTGCCTTGCCTGCAGGGTCCCTGGGCTCAGCGCCCAGCATCACACAGGCTGGGCGTGGGGTGTGCACTCCACTGGGTTAATGATGTTCCTGAAACTGGTGCTCTTAACTCTGAAATTAGGCTGTCGCCATTTTTCCTGTTGCTCATGCTTTGGGTGCCACATTCATGCAATCACTGCCAAACAATGTGAGGTAGTGACGATGATATCACCCCTCCCCCCTTTTTTCTGCTGGTGGTTTTGTAGCTTTTAGCAGTCATCCCAGAACAGAGAGGGAGAGGCATCCCTTGCCTTTCTCATTCAAGGCTGGGGTATTCTATCTGTGGAGCAAGTAGGAAGTGGCTTACTAGGGACCTCGAACTTGGGGAGGGAATAAACAGAATTAAAAAAAAAAAAGCCTTTCAGAGCTGCTGAAAGTGTAGGCTTAGAAAGTCAGTGTTTTAGTGTTAATGAAAAACAAGCACAGGAAGGAAAGGAGAGGTTGTAGAAAAGGGAGCAAATACAGCAAAACCGAGTACAGGCTCTTTCAGAACAGTGTGTATGAGGCAGTCCAGGGATGTTTGCATTCGCCACTGAGGAGTCGCACTCGGCTCTTCAGACACCTAGGCTCTCGCTGCTTTCAAATCTCACTGCAATTCAGTCTTCAGATCCAAAGATGCGGATCAAACAATGTTCCGAGAAGCAAGCATATTCAATACAGACATAACCCGACATCGGGGCTTCGCAAGGGTCCTCGACTAGCTGCGAGGTGGCAAAGTCAGCGTCGTTTGCCTATGTGTGTGGGAGGAGGTAGGCAACTCTGATTACAGAGTTGGACAACAGGGAACAGACGGGATCCATCTCAGAGGCTCGCTACTACAATCAAGCAGGTGCAGCCAAGCCCTCGGCACACATCTACGCACAAACAGCACTGCGACTACCACCCTTGGCTCCGGGTAGGCGCAGAGCTCGCATTAAAAGCACACGGCCTGAGGTTTCTGCCCTTAGTGGCACCAATCACTTTAATCTTTGACGTAGCGTCAAGGACATATACACTGTCCTCCTCTTTACAGTATACTAATGTTACACATAGTGAGCCGATCCTTCCATCTGGATATTCGGCTTCTGAAATGCCTGGTTGGGAAGAAATGTCAGGTGGAAAGGGATTGGCACGTGAATGTCAGTTTTGTCCCGGCTTCTGCTCCATTATTATTTCAATCTTAGCCCCAACTACCAGGAGTCGTGAAATAAGCTCCGTCTTTAAGTAAAAGACAAAGAAACAAATTCCTAACCAGGCACCTGTAAGCTGACAAGCTTTTTAATCCCCCAAGGACTTTACTTCTGACTCAGGAGGTGTAGCTGAGGAGCAGGCACGTGTTGTCAGGTGACCAAACATGCAGCTTCAGTTTTGGGTTTTTGTCTTTGTTTTCCTCTGTGCGGCCTTGGCTGTCCTAGACTTGCTTTGTTGACCAGGCTGGCCTCAAACTCACAGAGCTCCGCCTGCCCCTGCCTCTCCAAGTGCTGGGATTAAAGGCGTCACCACTGCACCCAGCGGCAGCTTCAGTTTCAAGATTTATATTTTTAAGGTAAGACTACAATGTCATGGGGATGGGCGCTCTCGCCTTCATTCAGACAATACCCAGAGAGCGAAAACTTCTTAGTTCTGGGTGCAGCATCCCTGCTCTGTAGGCACACACCCTGCGCCGCCTCAACCCACTCATGCATAAATCACCCAGATAAATGAATGATCCATAGCTTCCTGGAATGTCATAGGGCTTTCGAGACTGTGAGCAGCTAGGACAGGATTCAAGTACCCTGAACTTAACTGCCAACAAGTACACATGTTCTTAAAGTTAGTGCCTGCCAACTGTGGTCTTCAGAAACTGCCAATTACCTAGATCCTTGTAAAATTTAATAATTTGTAATTAATAAAACTGACTTCCCTAAAGCCCAAAGCACATGTCTAACACAAAACTCCTAGAAAATATTTGGCATGTCGTTTTCTTGGAAAGAACCGTTCACCTAATACAGAAATCATCTATTAGGCTATCTTTACGTTAAAAAATTACCCTGGACTCAGAGGAGTTTTGCAAACTTCACTATCTTCAAATGCTCACAAAGGTCTGTAGTCCCTCATGGATGTGCCTGGTCATCTTCCTTTGCATCAGATAAATGGGTCCTTAGCAGGCCAGCAAGATGGTTCAGCACTCAGGATGCTTGCCTCAAGCCTGAGCTAATCCTAGCATCCACATGGTGGAAAGAATTGACTCTTGTGGATCACCCTTGCAGGTGCCCCATGGTGTGTTAAATCCGCACACATATACTTACACAGAAACAAACATACTTTTAGAGGAGTTTTTAGGGATGTGAATCACAGTTGGATAATTTATGGTGAGAATACACACGGCAGGGCTAAACTCTTATGAGGGAATTGTGGTGGATCAAAGAGCCCAACTTGAACACAGACAAAATCTTCCCTATCATAACAACACCCAACTCCAAGTGGCAAGTTGGCAACCTCCTCTCCCCAGAGCTGTCATATTAACTGTGAGTGGGAATTCAAATCCCAGGTTCTTCCTCTGTGTCTTGCATGTCACAATATGAAGCATGAGGGCATTCTCATCACGGTCCCTCTGGGAGGTCTGCCTTTGCCATGCTTGTATGCATTGATCCCAAGTATATGTGGGACCTTCCTCTGGGCACAGCCTAAAGGAAGCAAATCACCTCTGCAAAATCTTTTGTATCCTCTAAATTTCTTGTTTTGTCTCTGGATAAAAAAAAAAAAAAAAAAGAAAAGAAAGAGAGAAAAAAAAAGCCACTTAGTTATTAACGCAGGAGGACGCTGCCCTGAGAATAGCAGAGCGTCCACCCTTCATCCATCACAGGGTGTCCAGTCTTGCGTACAGATAGCACAGTGTAGACACTGTCACCGCCATTCTCCTACTGGCCATCTGCATTTCTGGACTGCTTAAGGGACAATATTCTTGATGCCCCAGTGAGCTCCACAGCTGCACCTGAGACTAGGCAAAGGCCACCAAGCCAGCAGTAACCAGTCTGCGGGCACTTCTGAAACCTCACACTGACACGTACGTGGCAAGGCCACCATCTCCTCAGGCTGTCTTCTAACTTCCGTCTGGCTGCTGAAATTAGTCCCTTCTCCCCCTCTGCTTTTTCTCCAAGTCTGAAAGTATTCCTTTCTTTTCTGACTGTCTATATTAGATTGTACTGAGGCACTTTTAAAGGTTTCCCTTGCCTCAAGGAAACGAGTGAGCCTCATCCCATTCCACTCTCATGCCAAACACGAGCGCTGTTCAAGGGCCTCGGACATCTGCATTCAGACGCTGCAGTTTCGCTATTTGAACACACCGGAGCCGCATCACTCACCAGGAGGCGAGAAAACTCCTACTCACCAGAGGAAAAACACATGGAGGTAGACTCTCCCTTATATGCATTTTCTAGGAGTTCTGCTAGACTTCTCCCCAATGCTGGGGCAGACACAAGGGATGGAACCAAAGAGAAACTGCTTGGGGACTTTGACACTCGGGCACAGGCGACAGCCTGGGTTGAGAAAGAGAGAGCAGGCTATCTGAGTGAGGCCCGGGCAAGGTTGTCACCATCGCGAGCTCCAGCACCTATCTCAGCACCAATATGCTTATCTGCAGTAAGCCAAGGCACTCTGTCTCTCCACTGTCATGAACTTCAGTATGCTGGAGACTTGGGGGGCTGTGGCCAGCACAACAACCCCCCAACCCCACAGATGATGAAAGTCAGCCTAGGCCCCCAGGTTTCCTCCCAAAGTCAGTCTCACTCTATTCCCTAAGTGACTCTCTCTCTCTCTGACTCTCTCTTCTTTCTCTCTTTCCCTCCCTTCGCCCTCCCAATCCCTTACTCCCAACCCCCTCGCTTCCGTAATGGTCAGTATTAATCGTCAACTTGACAAGATACAAAACCATGTAGGAGATGGACATACCTGTGGGGGGGGGTATCGTAAATACATTAACAATGTGGGAATGGGGGCTGGAGGGGTGGCTTAGTAGTTAAGAGCACTTGTTATTCTCTCCGAGGGCCTGAGTTCGATTCCCAGCACTCACCTCAGGTTACAACCACCTGTAACTCCAGCTCCAGGGGCTGCAACTCCACAGAAGAAGGATGTATACATGTATATATACACATGGCATACACTCTCACAAACACACATACACAAATCATAAAAATAAAAAAGAATCCTTCTAAAAAGAATAATGTGGGCAGGCCCATCTTTAACTGTGAGACCACTTCCTGGGGAGGAGAGCTGTATAGACAGCAAGCTTAAATGTGGGGGGCAGGCGTGGGTCTCAGAAAAAATAAAATGAAGAACATGAGCTATCCAGCACAAACGTTCACTGCCATCTCACTCTTGACTGGAGATGCCATGTCACTGTCCTTCTCAAGCTTCTACTGCCATGACCCCCCCCCACTGCTAACATGGTAGACTGAATCCTGCAACCATCAGGCAAAACAAAACCCTGTATTCCTTAAGCTGTTTTTGCTAAGAAATTTGTCACTAAGACAGATGTTTTATTATACAAGGTGAATGTTTGTCCAAGCAAGTAAAATGCACTTAGTATCTTATTTGATCAGTTTGATAAAGTGGCTACCCAGTGGCCACTAAAATGCCATCAAAATATTTCTTTGGGGGTTAAAGATGTACGACAGTCACAAAACATGCATGAGGCCCTGGTTTTGCTGTCTGATGCCACACACACACACACACACAGAGAAAGAGAGAGAGTAGATATTACATTCCTGTACCCTCTGATGCCCCAAACGTTCTTCAGTGGTCACAGAGGTAAAGGACAGGCCCTCGCTCTTACCCTAGCAAGCGCTTCTTCGATGGTGATCATTTTTTCCTTGACCATCATCATCAGCTGAATGCGCTCCTCGTCGCTCATCGTGATCTCACTGGCCACGTAGCCCACATCTTCTCCTGAGATTGAACACAGACAAATGCAAGTGAGAGACGAAGCAGGCCTCTAGCCAGGAAGCCCCTCCTCTTAAGTGAGACGGGCATTTCTTGGGGACCCTGGCCACCTTGCATGCTACGGACGGAGCAGAGGGGTGCAGAACCAAGCTGCCTGTCTGGAAGCCAAAAGCGCATCTATCTGGGAAGTGAGAACACGTGCAAACTGCCACAGAAGCGAACCGTTCAAAATGAGCAGAACTTCTGAGGCAGGCCTTCTAGAAACGGTACAAAGTTGACAGGGGATTTCTTGTTACGGATCAGCCAGGGATCTCATTTAAATGCCCAACTTGATCGGACAAGCAGGCTTCTTTGGTTTCTCTGCAGTTTACCGTGTGACACATGAACAAGAACATATATTCGTATGAGACAGCTGCCGCTGTGACGGGCAGTCACCCACAGAACCAAGCCTGCTGAGCCGATTCAACAGTCTTTCCCTACTGAGGTGTCTGGCTGCTGTTCTCACAGGGAAACAAATAAACAAACAAACACATAAATAAAGCCGCACGCTATGCGCGTCAGCCTCATGGAAGACAGGTCTACAGCTCTGTATATCTGGAAGTACTGCAGTCACATGGGTCAGTGACAGCAGGCTGACACACACACCAGGAGGAAGCAACATGGGAGGCCTGGGTCTCTCTCTTCTGCCCCACCTTCGCCCAACATGCTTTGGTGCTTCTGGTATGGTAAGGACCTTCGTCAGAGATTTGTAGACCCTTACTGCACAAGGACAAGACAAAGGAAGCGGCCTGGAGACGCACAGGAAGCCTTGGTAGAGGAGAGACCTAGCTTGCGATTTGTGTTTCCACTGTGTCTCTGCCTCTCATTTCTATTTTTGTTGCTGCTGTTATTGTTGCTTTCGGTTTTTCGAGACAGGGTTTCTCTGTGCAGCCTTGGCTGTCCTGGATTCAATTTGTAGACCAGGCTGGCTTCAAACTCACAGTGATCTGCCTTGCCTCTGCCTCCCTGAGTGCTGAGTTGAGAGGTGTGTGCCACCACGCCCAGTTTCCATTTTGTAATCAGTCAGTTCAGAAGTACCCCTCAAGTCCTTTCTGACACTCATCCAATTGTGGAAGAATGAAAGGGTGTGTTGGATTTGGAGAGAAGCCTGCTGGTTTGATTCATTTTACTACTTGTGTTGAGTGACACAGGGCTGGTTAGGTGTTTCATGAAGCCATGTGCACTGCTGACTCTCTCTAAGACTTATTTTTATTAATATCTATGTGTCTATGTTTCTATATAAGTGAATGACACATGTGGACGCTCCCAAAGGCCAGAATAAGGCATCAGATCTCCCTGGAGCTGGAGCTCTATACAACACAAGCTTTCCTGACACAAGTCCTGGGAACCAAACTCCCATCCTTTAGAAGAGCAGCAAGTGCTCTTAACCACTGAGCCTTCTCTCGTGGGCCCCGTCCCCACTTGCCACGGCCTTCTTTCTCCACAACTTTCTAAGTGAGACTTTGTCAGAACACAAAGTCTGTCTGGAAGCCCAGAGGAGTATTGGTCTCTACCAAAAGAGAAAGCTCCAAGTGCTGAAGAACAGGTTCCTCAGTCCAGGGACAACTAAAAAAACATCGTCATGAAAGAGCCGTCTGAAAACTCGGGTGTGCAGAAAGCTAAAGTCCACGGTCAAATTCCTCATGTCTGGGCGAGTGACTGGACAGTCTTCCTGACTGGAGAGGCCATGTTACTGTGTAAAAGGAAACCCAGCGGTGTCCGAGGAGGCCAGTAAGGCATGTTCAGTTATTGATAAGCCCTTTCCGCCAGACAGGAATGTGGAAGTCGAAGTGTCCTGCTTTCCTCTGTGAACACTGGGGGAAACGTAAATTACATAACGCGGCCTCTAGGGATGACAGATTTATTTGCTAACTAAACAAAAACAAAGGCAAGGCCTGGAGAGAGGGCAGAGCTCCCTGCAACACAGCAGCCGGGTATGTTCTCATGATGTCAGACCCAAAGAGGGTTTCCAGGGGCAACAGCTCCATAACTGTCCCTGCCACAGAGGAAAAGTTCAGAAGAATGCAAAGGCTCCAAGCCGGGGTATGCACCGGAGGCTCCAACACTAACAAACTCCAAGATCCCCTTGGGCTGTTGGGGTCAGTGCTTGGCCAGTTTAAGAGAAGAGCAGGGAAAGGGGAACGTCTGTAGACAGAGGGCCACTAGCTTGGCCAGTTTTCTTCTCTTTGAGTTCAAGAAATTCATGGGGTCAAAATCTTGAAGCCATGAAAGGAATGTCAGAAAAGTTGACTATTTTGCAGGCATATACAATGAGTTATTCCTAAATTGGAGTGTCCCTTTAGCTCAGGGTAGGGCTTCTGAGCATTATGAAGCCACAAGGACTCATTGTCCAGGAGCCCCAGCACTGTACCTTTGGAGGTCTGCCTCATTACTCCTTTCTGGTTCTTTCGAAAATTCTGCCAGAAGTACTTGTTTTTCTTCTTCCAATCGCCTTTGCCTTTAAGAAAGAAACAAAGGGAAAAAGGAAGGAGAGAAAGAGAGAGAGAGAGAGAGAAGCACAAGCAGTAAATTTACTGATACAAAAGCAGTCTCTTATAATGTGAAAGCTGGAACGAACACTCTGATTGCACAAAGACAGTTTTTCAGTTTGTGAAAGACTGTGAAATAGCTATAAAGTTGTTTAAAAGAAATGCAAATTTGCTAGTAGGAAAAAAAAAAATGGCCCAATGAGGTTAAGAAAAGAAATACAGGCACATCAAAAGGGCAGGCCAAGCACGCGCTCTCAGGTTCACTTTGATGTCTGTCTAGCCAGTGTGCCTCCTCCTGCCGTGTACTGTGGTACATTCTCTCCCTTCGGTTGCAGCCACAATTATTTCCACGATGCCACAAATAGAAGGCTTGCAGAGGTTCAAGTCGTTTTGTTTTGTTCCTGCTGTTTACCGACCACTGCTTTATTTCCCTTATTCCAAATTTCATGAAGAAAACACAAAGGCTGTTATGGCCTGCTGTGCACTGCTCAGCACAGACTAACCAACCTGGATCACTGGGGTGTTGGCTGGCATGGGTCTACTGCACAGGAAAGGCGTGATCCCCAGATCTCTAATGTTCAGGGTCTTTGGTGACCAACCTATAGACTACAAAGGTCACAAAGACAAGAAAAACAGAGGACCCTGCTGCAACATAGCCTAACTCATCTCACCTCCCGCCTATCTTGGACTAAGATTGGGTGATTCAGCAGTGGAAACAAATTTGGCATCAATAGACATTTAAAAAGCTACATTACGGTTCTAGTAATTGACAATATGAAATACTGTCAATTTTTAAATGCAAACAGATGAGAGTTCAGCCAGTGACGAGATTGTTTTACAAGCATGAAGTGCAAACTTCAACCTCCCAGAAGCCACAATGGTGAGGCTGGGCATGGTGGCATACACTTATAACCCCAGCACTGGACAGGCAGAAACAGGAAGGTCACTGTAGCTTATGGACCAGCCAGCCCAGAGATTTGGTGAATGAGAGGCTCTGGTCTCAAATAACAAGGCTCATGGCTCCTGAGGAATGACGGCTAAAGTTTTCCTCTGGGAGAGCATGCACACACACACATGTGCATACATGCACACACCAAAAAATGTGAAAGGCAAACATGAAGGAGAACGGTCAGTGGGTGGGAAGGGCAGCTCTTTTATTCTTTAAAAAGGAAAGGCGGTGGCGGCAATGGCTGCCGCTGCGCTGATGTGGCGCGCCCAGAGCAGCTCTGTCTCTGTTTGGTGTCTGCCTGGTTGTCCTGTGGCCACTGGAAACAAGGCCCAGCAAAGCAGCGGCTTCCACAGTCTAGACTGGCGGTGCCAAGCCATGATGCATGGAGCAGCCATGTGGGAACTCCATCGCTCGGGCTCCCAAGCTAGCAAGGGTGTCATTTGTCAAAACAGGATGTCCTCATTTAAATGCTGACAGCCCTGGAGGCCTGGGAATGAAACCCAAGCCCTTCTGACTTGGATTTTCTAGGTTCTCTGGTCCACAAGGTTAGTTTCATGGGGTCTGGCGCCTGTGAGCAAGTCCCAAAAGCAGATAACAGCCATGTAAGGCAAAAACAGACTGGGTGTCAGTCATTTGACCTCTTCTTAGAGAGGAGACTACAGTGCATTTCTCTGCTTATAAGCTGTATTTCCTTCCTTCTCGTACACACACAGATAAGCTTTTTGAGACAGGGTTTCTGTGTATAGCCTTAGCTGTCCTGGAACTTGCTGGGTAGAACTCAAAGATCTGCCTGCCTCTGCCTCCCAAGTGCTGGGTTTAAAGGTGTGTGCCACCACTGTCCAGCTCCTATTTTGCTTCTGTAATGGAGATAATAAAAATAGCTAACATTTCTTCAGCACTGACATCACCCCGGTACTTTGCTGTTCAACCACCTCATTTAAGTCTCATGTTTCTCCTCCTCCTCTCCCTCTTCCTCCTGGCCCTCCTCCTCCGCCTCCTCCTCCCCGTCTTTTTTAACAGTGACAGGGCCTCACCACGTATCTCAGGCTCACCTGGAACCCACTATCATCCTGCCTCGGGCTCCCATGTGCTGAGATTACACTAAGTCCTACCATGCCCACTGTTATTCATAGGATCCGTTCTTACTCCATTCAGAAGGTAAGAAAACCAAGCCCTGGAGAGGCAAACGTCTGAGGTCACAACAGCTGCGTTGGCACTCACGATTCAAAACCTGACCACCGGATGTGAGTACTCATTACCCACCAACACTCTGGCCTTTGCTTTATCAAGAACAGATCTCAGCAGGTATACACACCTTTAATCCCAGCACTCAGGGAGGCGGAGGCAGGCAGATCTCTGTGAATTGGAGGCCAACCTGGTCTACAAAGTGAGTCCATCACTACCAAAGCTACACAAAGAAACCTTGACTCAAAAAAAAAAATCCAATTAAATATTTAAATCAAGGGCAAGGAGTACTGACCTACACAGCCGTCTTCTGAGTTCGACTTATGGAGGGGATACCTAGAAAAGAAAGCGAAATGTATACATGTTACCAGACGGCCTTGGTTTGGGGGCTTTTCACTGAAACCTTCCTTACCAGTTGGACCTTGGACCAACAATGCTTATTGGATCTTGGGGAGTATTTACAAGTGGTCTTTCCTACCTATCTGCTGAGTTCCTAGGAAATGGATACCATTTGTCAACACTGATTAATGACCCAATCTAAGACAGGATCTATATTTTAAAAAGGGAATATGGATGTCACTAACGGTCAATGAAGGATATTTCGTGTCTTAACCTAATCGCTGGTTAAGTTCCTGCCAACTAAAGTCTATAGGGTAAATGAAAAAGAAAAATCATGTCATAATGACCATATCAGTTCCATAGCACAATGGCTGCTTGGCCAGTAAGAGAGTAGCATGGGCAGCTGGAAAAAAGATGAGAGTAGGCTGGGGAGGTGAGAGATACCGTCAAGAGGAGACTGGGTGCCAAGAATCAGTACACAGTTCCTGTGGTAGGTGACCTCCTGCTGGCAAGTGTGATAGTTGGTCTTGCTAGATTATGTAAGCCAGGCCTGGTGGCACACTCCTTTAATCCCAGCACTCAGGGAGGCAGATACAGCCTGATCTCTATGAGTTTGAGGACCACAAAGTGAGTCCAGGACAGCCAAGGATACACAGAAACCCTGTCTCAAAAAAAAAAAAAAAAAAAAAAAGCCAGAAATTTGCCTTCTTTTGTTTCTACAAGAGCTTCACATTTTAAAGTTATGGCAAAATTTTAAAAAAATGGATTGAAGTTGATCAACCTGTGTCTGTTTCACATCCCACCTTGAACCAAGCTGTCAGCGTGAGACAGCAGATCCAGGTAAACCCAAGTAACATGGAGCAGTAGCAGACTAAAACCAGTGAGTGAGTGAGTGAGGTGGCTCTCTAGAAAGCACTCAGACAAACACCATGTAGCATGGTGGCAGGGAAAGCAGGGAACATTAACATGAAGAGGTAGCAGGAGTAGAGAGCAGATCCAAATCCTCAAGTGTTGGGTTCAAACTCGAGAGGACAAAGTCATTGTCCTTCGTCATGCCAAAAGAAAAAATAGAAAGAGCTCATTTCCGAACAGAAGCTGGGTACTTAGAGAATTCACGCCCAAACCTCCTCTCCAAGTTCACTGCCCAAAAGGAAGATAAAGAGATGCCTGGCTAGACACTGTAGCTACCGTCTAGATGCTTAGGAAGCCAGTTGTGAGGCCAGGTACTGAGAGGTAACACTGAAAATAGAGGACAAATGGCAGAACCTTCAAACACCTAACAGAGACCTTGCAGGTAAAGGGACCTCAGGACTTTAAGGTGCAGGAGCATGGGTGGGGGTTTCTCATGCGAGGCCCCCAATAATGCAGCCATTACTCAGGTGGACAGGCACAGGGGATGCCGTTGACTCGGCCGCCAGGCCCTGTGGGTAACAAAGTATTCCATATTTGAGAGACAAGAACTGTTTCTGACTGGCACAAAACCCTGCAAGATCTCCATGGTAAACTAGGAAAGACAGGAAAGACAGACACGGGTGAGACCACTGCAGAGGTCAAGAGCCGGATGAACTACTATTCACTCATCTTTCTACACACAGCACACAAACACACCCACCCACATCCACACACCCAGCATAAGGAAACATACTTGATCACCAAACTAACCCCCGCAAAAGCTCTAGAATCTACAATCTACTATTTCCCCTCATCCTATTTACTACAAAAAATAAGATATTCAACTCATATCTATTGAAAGGCTTCCAAATGGCGGCCATTTTAAGTTCTAAAAACATTCAGCCAAAACATGTAAGGGACAAAGGTATAAGGTATGAGGAAATGAGGCTATTGGTTAGCGAGCAGGGTGGATAAGAAAAAGAAAGCACATGGGGCAGAGACATAGATCAGTAGGTAGAGTGTCTGTCTAGCACACGGAGCCCTGGGTTTGACTCCATCACCATATAACACTGGGGGTAGTTTGTGTTCTTTTGTAATCTCAGCATCTGGGAGGAGGGTCTCTGCTACACAGAGAGTTCAAGGCCAGTCAGGAATGTATAAGATCCTGTCTCAAACCCAGCAAACAAACAAGAAGGCACACAAAGATGATGGGGTAGGGTATAGTTGGTCTTGACTGGTGCAAGGGGATCAGTAAATCCGTTCTAGATCTATCTGTGAAAGTTGCCATAGATAACTAAGGGATAAAGACTCACCCTGAATGAATGGCACCATCCGTGGCCGTTTGGATGGGAAATAAGGGGGAAGGAGGAAGTCTCACTGGGCCAGGCATTTTTCTCCACTTACCAACACTGTGAGGTGAACACTTTCTTACGCGCCACCTGCTTTCCACACCATGACCCCTACGTCGCCCCAGGGCCCAAACAAGCACAGCGCGAGGACAGACAAATCCTTTCCTAAGCGGGTTCCTCTCTGGTCTTTGTCACAATGGCACAGTGGGACCATGGGAAGGCAGAGGATCGGGAACACCACGCGCTCATGGCCACAGGTGAATTCTGAGACCCACAGACTGTCCAAGAGCATCGCCCAGCTGGCGGAGAGGAAGGCAGGGAATTCTTCAAAGATGATCATCTTGGGCTGCTTTGGGATTCTTAGACTCTGAATAAGAAAAATCTTCCTGTGTTGTATTTAAACTCAAAGCCACAGTGACGCATGGCCACGCACCTGCTTCAGCTGTCCCTGGCACACCAATGCCTGCACATCTACATAGTCACAGTTACTGTAAGGACGGGGAAAGGCCTGGCCCTTGCTAAGAACTACATGAACTATCCTCAGTGCTGGATAAATCAGCTACCAATGTGGTCAGAGCTTTGTCATTGTTTTCCCTTTCATAGAAAGAAGTACGTTCTCAGGGAAATGATCTGCAGAAACTCGTAAGCCTTCGGGTGATTGAGAGTAACACGTCTTAAGGGAATGAATGACTTTTAGCTATCACTTGATCATATTATAATTTTACAGGACACTGTGGTTCCCACAAGGGGTCAAGGGATGTCGCTAACACTTTGCTCCTTGGTACTTGCAGCCGAGGGAGCAGCAGGTGGTCTGCTGAGGCCCTGTCTTCCTCTCCGGAAAGAATGAAGACTAATCACTTCAATCCTATCTTTGACATTTTTAAAGGCTCCTTTCTATCCCAAAGCCGTCTTTTCATACTTCCAGCCAAATAGAAATGTTCAACGACATAAAAATACTTCCAAACTTGCCATTTCAGGAAAATGCATGTTCTCACTGCTACCTAGACATTACAAAATGTAATCACAGGTTCTTCCCCAAAATACAGACTCACAGTCTTTTTGTTACTTTCATTCACTCTCTGCAAATTATCAGGCATGTTGGGTAATTTTATCCTCATGTTTGGCATGGCCCGCCCTTCTTTCATTTCCCCAGACCGCCTGAAGGTGGCACTGTAGATTCTTCATTCAAGGGTGACAGAGAGCATGGAATTTTGTCTTTAAATTTTCACAAGTTTACAACACTCAGACTGGCCAAAGCCAGGCTGTCAGGCTCCTTAGATCATCACCTCTCAAAGAGAAAAGTGACAACGTATGAATTTGGCCAGAGTGACTTCTACATGCAGAGGCTGACAGAGGAGAAATGCAAAATGCTACACACCTGCATGAACACACACACACACACACACACCACACACACACACACACACACACACACACACACGAGTGCTCAGCTACTCCTAACATCCATTCTCCAGGACCTGAAACTAACCATGTAACCCAGTCTGGAGTCAGCAGGCAGAAAGGTCACCTCCTGGTGAGCCCTCACTGTGTGCCTGAGCCTAGAAGGTGGGCTGTGGGGCCAAGCACCGTCAATTTCACTGGTAAAGGGATGGGAGTTAGGAGCAACACTTGGCATCTGTTGCACTCTGAAAGTACTGCACTTCGTCTCAGGAAGCCTAGGAATGTGATTCTTGTTTAGAGCTCAAGAGGTCCCATGTTCAAATCCTGGACAAGTCTGTCTTATTTCTCCAGAAGTAAGCTGGAGTGAATATCTTTTCAATACTACGGTTAAACTCCCCACGTTGCTAACATGTAAACATTCCCCTCAACATCCCTAAACTACTTAAGATGTTTCTAAAGACAAAATTCACTTAAGAAAAATTCCTAAACTAAGGAATTGTTGGAATTAAAAAACAAATTCAAGAAAGCGTATCTTCAGAACTTGGTCAACATCTTTCCTTTGTTTGTTCATTTTCAACCCTTCCTTCCTTGCATCTTGTTGGTATGTGATTCAGATCCCAGGGAATCAGACACTCACTCCCTTGGGCCCGGGGGGCATTTGCTAAAGGAGCAGGAGGGGCTCTGGCTTTGGAGTGGGGTGGAGGGGCAGGAAGGGCCTGCCAGGGAGGGAGGAGCGTGGACAGGAGCACTGAGACCTCCCCTGCAGATTCAGCCTACAGCAGGAGGGGCTGGACAGCCACGGCCCTGCGATGAGGAAGAACACAGTGTGGAAGAGGAAGCCCAAGCGTCTCCTGGGGCCAGTGGAGTCGGTGCCTTCTGACCCTCCCTTGGAGGTAAGAAGGGAATCTGGTACCACAGTGGAGGATGCGGCACTCGAGCTGCAGACCAAAGCCCAGTAGCTAGTACTCACATTACAGGGATGGAGGCTCAGTAGCTAGTACTCACATTACAGGGATGGAGGCTCAGTAGCTAGTACTCACATTACAGGGATGGAGGCTCAGTAGCTAGTACTCACATTACAGGGATGGAGGGCAGTGGAGCGCGTACAGAGAGGTGTTTTGAAGACAAAGATTGACACCCCACCCCACCCCCACGTCAAAAAGGAGTGACGCCAAACAGCCACACATGGAGAAGGTGCCCAAAGAGAGAAGGAACAAGGGGTAAATGTTCCCATGGCTGACTGGAGTAACAGTCAGCTTAATAGTTCTATTGCTGCCTCACCTCAGTGCACAGGCTACCCTATTTTCTGAGTTTCTCGCCCTAGAAAAGATGCCTTCATCAAACCACCCAGTGGGA